GATCTACAAGGCGGCAGAGACGTCTCAGGATGGTCCCCACCCGCCAAGTTCGTGGACGCCGGAGTCGACGCTCGAGTTCGTCCAAGCGGTTGTGGAGATGGCCATGGAGCAGACGGTACCGGAGGGCGCTGATCTTTTTGCTCTGGGCTGCGACAGGTAAGCAAGTACACATGAGATCATGGACTATGGCATGTTGAACCTTACCTCAGTCTCGCCGCAACGACCATACGTAACAACGTTGTCCGTGCTCTTCGCACTTCTACGACTGCATCCACGACCGGCCTCGACGTAGCGCGCAAGGCCCCTCAGACTCTTGTCTACCAGAACCCTTCTATCCGTGCTCTCAGCGACTTCATCTATGCTCTCGTCACTGGGAGAGATCTCGAACCGGATACCGAGACGATCAGGCAACAAAAGGCTCAGGCCATGGAGGCCATGGTAGCCAAGTATAGCAACGACTTCGTTCCTCTGCAGGTACCAGCCGGCGCCGGTCCTCTGCCAGAGCGGGAGACTGTTCTTGTTACCGGCACCACAGGGCGCCTGGGTTGCCATCTCCTCTATCAGCTCCTTCAAGACCCGAAAGTCGGCCACATCTATGCGCTCAACCGCGCAACAGGCCGAGGATCGTCCCCGGAGGCGTTGCTTGGCCGCATGCGCGGTGCATTCGAATCTTGGGAACTCGATTCTGGCCTCCTCGAGAGCGGCAAGATAACTCTCTTGGCGAGCGACTATGCAGCCGACCGTCTGGGCTTGGATGCAGATACGTATGCTGAGATTCAAGGCCAACTAACCACGATCATCCATAACGGTGAGCCTCACCCCTGCGCGATCCCCTCAAGAATGATCCTGATTCTTGGATAGCTTGGCGCGTCGACTTCAACGTAGTCCTGTCCAGCTTCGAGCCCCTCATCATGGGTGTGCGAAACCTGATCAACCTCGCATCCCACGCTCCCACCCCTGGCGGTGCGCGCTTCCTATTCGTTGGCTCTGTTTCGGTCCTATTTGGTATGAAAGGTCTTCGACGCGTATCTTTTTATCACTGACATGCCTTCTCTCAGGTGCACCTGAAAACCAGATAGCTCTTGAGGAGCCTATTCTTGATGCGCGTCTGTCTGCAGGCATTGGCTACGGCGAGAGCAAGTGGGTTGCAGAGACGCTTCTGCTCCGCGCGCGGGACGCAGTCGGCCTACGTGCATCAACCGTACGTGTGGGCCAAATCGCCGGCGATACGCGCGTCGGTGGCTGGAACAAGCAGGAGTGGGTGGGCGCCATCGCTCGACTCGGACAGATGGTTCATGCCATTCCCGAGCGCGACGAGCCGATCTCGTGGGTGCCCGTCGACGTCGTCGCCACGACGCTAATCGACATGACGCGCTCGGAAGAGCCTGTCTTCAACCTCGTCGCACCCGTTCCGTCGGACTGGAAGACGGTGTTTGGCGCGTTTGCTAAGCAGCTCAACTTGCCGTTGATGGCGTACGACAAGTGGACCTCGCGCGTCAGCGCCGCTGCCGAGACGTACACTGGCGATCGAGATGTACAGCCGCTCGCGTTGGCGGACTTCTTCCAGGCCGGGAAGTTCGGCGAGGGCACTACGATCTCGACTGAACGCGCCTGCAAGGCTTCGCCTGCTTTGGCAAACATGTCGCCCATTGGCGAGAAGGATGTGACGCTCTACCTGGACTTCTGGAAGAGGATTGGATTCTTGAATGCGTCGTAGAAGATCTGGCAGCTAGGCTCTGCCTTTCGGTTTGCCAGACGTTCAATCTCAGGCTGCTCAATGTCAATTTCTTTGTACACTTTATTGAAACCATGTAGCGAGTCTTGTAGCTGACTGGCGACTGATCGATGGATCTCGTAGAAGCTCTGGTATGTTGATCCAAGCTATTGTCGTGTTTGCGTAATGGGCCTGGTGTGCTGCACCTAGTGAGATGATCGTCGACGTCTACAGTGTCGGAGTGGGCACCCTGATTAGCGTGAGGGGCCAGATTATGATAACATATAATGAATGCTCGTGGACCCCTTCCGGTCACGATGGTGCTCCGGCGACGAAGGACGCTCCAGCCTCACCTGCAGCGCGACGAGCAGTTCCCGCTACGAGCTCACGGGGGTTGGGAGGGGGTCGGCGAAGCCGACCGGACGCGGCCCGGGTCGAGCCGCCGGGTGGGCGGGCTCGACTGCGGACCACGATTCGCTCGTAGCGGAAAACGGTAGTGGCGCGCGAGCTAATCGTGCAGGCGAGTGTATTTATGATACAGTAGTGTACGTGTCATAAATACAGGTCATTTGAGCGAGACAGTGAACTACGACGAGCGAGATTGGACAGAGGGTGTGGAGGGTGGGACAGAGAACCGGCGCGAAGAGCGCGCGAGGGCGGCTAGAGGCGAGATGGAGGCGAAGAGACGAAAACTGCGCGCCGCCCTCGGCGCGTCAGCTCGCTCAAGCTCTACGGGAACTGCCGGCGCTTCCGCTCGGCTGGACCCTTGCTCCGGTCTCGCGAGCTCGACCGAACCGGCAGACAGACATGTACATTGTATCGGTAGCACGCGCAGTACAACGGCCCCTGTCCGTGTCCGTGACATTTTGTAGTGCTTCGGCTGGACATAGATAACCACGTCGCATCATCTTTTTGCACATGGTTAGCCAACTCGACATGCAAGCACCGGCTCTCCGCCACCAAGCCATTTCATGAAAATCACAGTGGCCCATACGCAACGTCCACACGGCTCCAGAATTCATGCCATAAATTACAATGCTCCGCCCGAATCCGTGGTCAATAAGTACAACGCCCGAATCAAGTCAGGGCACATCCAGAGTGCTACACAGTCCGAGATCATCTACAGCTCCTCGTGGATATGAGTTTCCTCGGTCGAGGTGTTTTGTTTGCTGCCCTTGAGCGGCTTCACGGCGTGTTCCTCAACGAACGCAATCAAGCTCTCGAGGCTGCGGTCGCCCTCGTAGTCGACCCAAGCGCGGCCGCCGGCGGGCTTGAACTTGAGCGTAGGGAAGCCAGAGACACGGAAGGGTACGCTTGGAGGAAGGTCGTTCTCGGGCGCGTCCATCTTGCCGCTATCATATGACAAGGTTCAGTATGCGATTCTGGATCGGGAACGAAGGGACGTACACAATCAGGCTCGGCGCGTCCTCAAACTTCTCCGCGAGTTGCTGCCAGATGGGCGCAAGACGCTTGCAGTGACCGCACCAAGCGGCGTAGAACTCCATGAAGACATCCTTCTCGTCGTCGTAAACGACATCCTCGAAGCTCTTGCTGACGACGGTGTACACCGGCTCGTCTTGTTCGGTAGGAACGGGCTGGCTCTTGAGCTCGGGCGAGAGCTCGCCCTTGGCGAACTTCTGAGCGTGCGCCTTGACGGAGTCGGCAGAGAAGTCGTCGGCTTGCGAGAGCGGGTATTTGAGCTGCTTCTCGATGTCTTGAATGACAAACGCGGGCCACTTGGGCTCAGCGAGGTTGAGCGCCTTGGCGTGGTCGCCGAACTTGACGGCATCGATGTAGACGAAGTTGACAGCGCCACGGTGTTCGCCGGCGATTTCGCGAATGGAGGAAACGAGCTCATCCTTGCCCTCGGCGGTGGGATCGATAAAGAGGTAGGCGAGGGGCTTGCCGGACTGGGCGTAGACCATGTAGTTGTCGGCGTTCACCTCGTCCATGAGGGGGATGCTGAGGCCTGCGATCCACTCGGAGAGGTCCTCGCTCGAAGCGCTGGCGGCCGGGTACGGGTACGTCGTCTCGGCGTCGTCAAATGCACGGTAGAGGACGATAGCGGGGGGCGTGACCCCGGCGGCCTCTGCGGCCTCTGGGTCGACCGAGAGACCAAAGAGGTAGTCCTCGCGGTGCTTCTCGGCTGCGCGGCTGAACTCTGGGGCGGGGGCGTCGGTTGCGGTGGGGAGGAAGGCGACTGCGACGATCTTGTCGGCCGACTTGAACTCGTCCAGGCTGTCCGCGTTCACCTGCGTGACGGCCGGGAGGGACTGCTTGACCATGTAGCTGATGATGCCGTCGGCCTTGCGCGGGCCCGAGTAGTCGGTCGGCGTCCCGTTGCGGAAGACCTTGAGGGTGGGGTAGCCCTGGACGCCGTGCGCCTGGCAGAGCTCGGCCTGGTCAACGCAGTCGACCTTGGCGAGCTTGATGTTCTTCTTCTTGAGCTCCGTCGCCGCCTCCTCGTAGTGAGGTGCGAGCGCCTTGCAGTGTCCGCACCTGCGCCCTCGTCAGCCATCACGTCCCGCTACGCTTCACCATCCGCTTACCAAGGCGCAAAGAACTCGACGAGCATCAGGCTCTCAGAGTCGACCGAGGACGAAAAGTCAGACTCGGTGAGGGAGAGCACATCGCTGGCGTCGGCGGCGACGAGACCGGCGAGCAGCAACGACGAC